ATTTTGTTTGCTTAAAATACATTAATCACAGACTTTCATTTTGGAAAAGCATTTACTTTTGTGATGAGGTCTTATTTTTAGACAAGCCTCCGAAGTCGGCCCATGTGGTAGTATGTGAGAAGAACTTTTAACGAAAGCACACTCTGTCGACTCTAAATCTAAGGAACTGTTGACGCCTGATGGTTTGTATGGCCACCATATTCGGAAAGAGGCTATGCTGGCGTTCAACAACGGAGACGATAGATAGCAAGTTGTTTATCGAAATCGGTTGCAGTGGCGCTCATCGAAGTCGAACAGACACCGTAATGTTGCATAATAATGCCCCTGTTTACCGCTAAATGGAGGCATGATTCCAATTCAGTTTGAGACCATAACCTAATATTTCAGACCACAGCCAGCCTCTCCGCCTTCGGTCCACGAAACATTTTTATCCCCTTCAACAGACCGGACCTGAATACAACCACAATTTTTTTGCATTGATCAAAAGGTATTAGGACAAGGCAAGAAAACATCTTTGAATGCACTGAAAGATGGATTTGGTACTAAATAATCATATAAACCAAATCACCATAAACAACTTAGTAGTCTCCATGCCCTCCCACCTTAAAGCAATTTGATAAATCAAAGGACAATCGGCAAAGCACTAATACGTTGTATTTATTGCTGCTTTTCATCATTTTGTCGTTGTATGGCACTTTCCTTCCCTGCTGAATGTTATACTAGGCCTTAACTAATTGACACGTCGTAAAGTCGTCTTTTTATTTGGGGTTTTTTCGTAAGATAAGTTATTTCTCAGCAAATAAATAATACTGTATCAACTAAACTGTGTTTCGTTTTGAAGCTCGGACGTATATTTAACGCAGTATAGATTTCGTGGATGCTGGGTGGGCGATTCTTGCGCTACAGTGATTTTAGTTCGCAGTTCGTGGCTTTTGCCGATGCACGCTGAAGGTGAGATAGATGTTTCAAAGTCCGCTCCGCCTTAAGATAACTAACTGCGCCCTCTCCGCGATGGTGCTGTTGCTCGTTACTTGCGACGGATGAACTATCGGTCGCGCTGGCTGGGATGAACTGGGCCACTTACTGAAGTCCAAAAAATTGACCCCGCCGTTTATTTTCGTTCAGGTCTGTCCGTACGGCGGCGGCTGCGGTTGGGACTTCAACTGGTGCGCCAGTCTATCCCAGTCTTAAAAGATAAATAATTGCAAGTGGCTTATCACTGAAACGGCTTCCACAGGATGCTGTGCGAAAGGAACTTATCAGCACTGTTTGTACTCCAGAGCGTGCAGTACTAATAATCACTTGTGTTAAAAACAAATGGTAAGCAACACCCACGGTCTAAGTCATAGACATGTGCATCCTAATATGATCCAGTCAATAGGAAGAGAACATACGCAAGCAAGTTAATTCGCAGATTACATTTTGGCCAGTCCTATTCTCCAGTAAAAATTCCTTAATAATTTAATGGCATTAGAGTCGCCTACTAACGAAGGCAAAGAAGATTAGAACAACCCTTTTCGGCTTACGCAGCGTCCTCCATAGGTCATACATCAGTGGACAGAAGTAAAGACTTCAGGCCTAAATTCAAGCTCAGCTGCTCGTTAAACCGGACGTTCTGACACTTGAGTTGGGAACTCTGGCTCCGTCTCTTTAGACTCGAAGCTTTAAAAGTCAAGTGTGCGTGCCGTCTTCCAAGTTAACATGGTGACAAAACTCAGAATACAACCTTTTTATATTCAATGAGCTGATCAGAACGAATTAGCAAAAGTAAACCCACATTAACCCTATTTCTGTAGTGTGTGTTCTGTCGTTCAAACTCTTTTGTGCGCGGGAAGAACCGGGGGGCACGATAAACCTGACAGCTTGTAAATTCTACATGCGAGGAACAGTAGCCGCAAATAGCATGTGATGTACTTTTACTTCAAATCTTTTGTGCACTGGAAAAATTAGAGGAAGCGTCAAACCTAACAGATTGTAAATTTTGAAGAAGGAGACACGATAGCCGGGGTCGTGATTGTAAATTCTGCAAACGATGAATAGTAACTCAGAAGAATATTCTTCTGACTTTCTAGCGAAATAACTTAATTGAAGTTGTCTTGTCCTCTTCAGCTGCTTCAAGATTACAGGTGGAAATTGACTGTTGTAGTTAGTCACGTCCTCGGCATCACCTCTCAGCTGATAGTGTTTTGTAGTGCGGATGCACAATGTCCTGTTAACTCCTCCTCCTCCTCCTCCTCCTCCTCCTCCTCCTCCTCCTTATCCTCATCCTCATCCTTCTAGGTGTCATGATGAAAATTCGCCTTAAGCTGGTACTGGATTTCGGAGAGTCCAGTTAATGGACTGGAATGCGAGGCTTACTCTCACATTCCGTCTGGTCAGCTTTGTATGATATAGACCTTAAGAGATCAAAAGCGAGAGTCTACATGTCGTAGGAACGTTACTACGATTTTTTATACGTTTTCAGCTCATATCCTAAATAGAATGAGAGCTATCTTCTATGGATTTTCCCATGTTTAAAAACATCGGAAATTGTTTGGAAGCAATCGAAAACTCAGGTTGCAGTCTTTTCCGGGGAGGTGGAAAGAATACAAAATAAAACTTAGAGCATTTTCTTCCACACTTTCCACGAAAGAGTTATTCCGAAATCGCTTAGTCAGTAATTCCATCCTAATCTATTTGATGGAAGCCAGGAATGCCAAAGGAAAAATTGAAATAAATTAAGGCTTTTGAGGCTGAAAAGATGATCCAACCCTTAGCGAAAATGCCATTCACCTGTCGCCTTGAATTCACACTCGGACCTGCGATCAGAGAAAGCTACAAGCAGATGTACACCGGATGCAAATGGAATGCAGAATGTGTATAATGCACCTGATTCTGCAATCATGCGTCTAGAACAATCAATGACTCTAACGTACATTTCGAATTCCAGTACTTGGGGCAATAAGTACTTGGGTGATAACTCTAATGTCCTCAAAGGAACTCGGGTTTCGATGCTAAACGCAATTCCCGACCGGGCCTTTCCGGGCACAATATTCACGACGAATACAGAAAAGGATAACCAACCGGTAATCCATGAGGTTTTCCTCTATATTCAATACTACTGGCCTAAAATCAAGTTGCTCAGCACAGCAACTAACATTCAGCGAAGTACAGCGACCGACAGACCGGTGCCACGCTAACTCTGAGTCGTAATTATCCAAACTCGAATGCCACGCCAGAAAAATCTTTTGATGTTGCAGTCACTTGAGAGAAGACAAAGGCAAGAAGTGAAGAAGAGTCCGCCATTAGCTTGTAAGTCGGTTATGACAATGAGATTCTTCATGTTAGGAGCGGGCCTTTAACGGCTAAGAAATATCAACTTTAAAAAAATAAAGCATTAATAAAATTAAAAAATGTATAGTTAGTGAAATAACTTTCAAAAGTGAGTACAAGAAAATTCGATACTCTGAATGCAACAGCAACCACCAAATCAGCCACAAAACAAATGCAGAAGGACATTCTTTTGGTCCATCAGTTTACAGAAGTCAGGGTCGTCGAAATACAGTGACTTCGCAGGGTATTCTGAGAGGATTCTTGCCCGCACAGGGTTGTTAACCGGTAAGTACAAATGAAGGTAATAGACCAAACCGTGCGGTTCATTATTGGGACGAGTGTTCACGTCAGTCAATAACGATGTACACCCGATGTGGTTTGCGCGTTTTTGGGGAAAAGGAATATGTCGTTCGTGATAGGAAAATTGATGTACGAAATCAAACCACATTGCTGATAATAGCGCAGGAAGGACAGAAAATCTCCACGTTAAGGGAGATATCGTATAATGGAAGAGTATGCTTGCACAGCCATACCACTGTAGATAAAATCACATTTCTCAGCCAACTATGGCAGCAGCCGTTCGGGCGGCAAGACATTAGAACGCACTCCGGGCATTAGTTGTCCGTTTAGGGTTGAAATAAAGAAGGCAATGGAGAGGCACGAAGATCATTGCTAAAGTGTGAGAAATGCGACCATGGTGCTTCCTTGCTGACTGAGAAACCCCCGGCAAGGTGGCGAAGCAGAGGAACTCGTCGCGATTTTCGAAAGCTCGATTAACCCCGAGACAAGGAAGGATATAAGAGGCCGCGCAGACCACAACCCCAATGCGCTGTAAATGCAATCTTGCATTCCCCGGCCCAGAAGATCTTCGTAGATAGCATACAGTCGAAAAGAAGTGACCGCGAATACCTAGGAAACCATCGTCAGGGTGACAAAGTGGAGAAATCCATCCGTGTCATCAGTAGATCGCATTATAGTCAACCTGAGAAGGGGATGACAAAGACTGCGAAGTTCGTCTACGTGTGGAAAATATCAGTGAGTTTAAAACCGATGAGCACTAAGAAGAATCGCCTCAAATTCCGGCTGAGCGTTTGAGAATGAAACGAATATAATTGCGTTATATCTTCCGGGGTAAAATGCTTACATGACTTCAGTTTGAATACCGCTCATGTAGACGATGGCCTTATTTCAAAAGAGAGGTTATTCAAAGGAAAGCGAATTTGGAGTCAAAAATTAGAAGGTTCGACATCGAACGAAGTGTTGATGAAAGGTTCATATCGGAATAACACGTGGCATTAGGTCGATTTACTAAAAGTAAGCACTAACACGTTTTAGCGGTTTTCGTTGTACCGTGCACGCTTTACCAAAGTTGATTACGTTTGCATGTCTCTGTTTTATTTTGCATAGTGTTAGAGCTCCTTTCCTACTTTTTTATTTGTTACTGGCTGTGCTTCTGCTAGTTCTCCCGCTGTCAATCAATTACGCCGTGTCCTTAAGTGCTTTCTCTAGACTTAGTATGCGCCCCTACTGCAGAGCGAATTTGGAAAGATACTCATAATCCCTAAATCCGGAATTACTCTCGGACATATATTTCTGAGTAACTGACTTCAAATGTCAATTTACGATTACAACGCATAGTTTTACTGTGCCGAAGTCCAGCCGGTTTCTTCCAGATAAAGAACCTGAATATGCGGGATGTAAATAGTTTGCCCGGGGATTTGCAAGACTACTCAAAGTAACTTTACCACATTGTGCATTCTCTTCTACTTTTTAGCGCAGACGTAGAGGAGGCGCTTAGTTCATGTATGTTCAGTTAGCTCGTCTTTATCCCGTCACATAAGTCGTGCTTCCGTTGGATAATAAGCTGACGGAAGTTGAGGCTGACCTGCGTAGTGAACTAAGGATGCTAAAACAAATGGTAACTGACATCACCATTTTTAATTGGCAGAGGGTTTGTCTTAACGACCTAAACCAGGAAGCCAGTAACCTGCGTGTAAAAGAAGAAAGGAATAAGAGTACGCTGTATTTGTTCTTGTTTTTTGTCAGATGTTAAGAATACGGACAAGGCCAAAGAAGAGGCCATGAAACTCCTAAAGTCTGGCGCCATTTCCTTTGGAAGCGCTACTGAAAAGCACGTTTTTAAAAGAAAGATCAGGGAGTCGGACTTTTTGTCTGGTGATGTAGAAGACGCCTCAGGTAATTTTGTGTGCTTACCGGCGCATGCATAAAGGTCAACAAAAAAACAAAAGAATGAATCTTTACGACAACTTCGTCTATGGGGAAAGAATGCAGCCGACGTCTTCTCAGCCCTTGAAAAAGGAGCCACCAGAGCCTTATTCAAGTGATACGGCAAGCTCAAATGATGTAAAGCGCAGTGGGAAGTTCAGTCGCTCGCCATTGGGCTATGAAGACCAGACCGGTGATGTGACAGCAGCAAACAAACCTTTCAGTAGACATGCTCCAGAGTCTTCATCCTCCAACTACTCTTCTCTTAAGGAAGCCTCCAATAGTCGTAGACGGGGTGGCACAACCATACACATAAATTGTTGTGATATGTCCGAATCCCTTATTCGGCAAATCCTAGAGCCTTATGGGCCCATTCAACGTATTCGGCTAGACGAGAGAAAGAGGTACTCCCGTCTTTTCCTAAATGACAATATTTTTTTGCGCAACCCAAACAGCTATGATCACATGGGTTGAGGGTGCGAGTTAACAGTGGATGAAATCAGTCTTACTGTGCCGATCATGTATTTTAAAAGTTTTCAGTTTATTGCGGCAAACGCATTTTTTGTGAAATTTGGAACTCGCCTTTGCCAGTGTGTGTGTGCTGCCTCTGGCATCTTCATAGCTCACACACCTCCCATTGTTACTATTCATCCACTAAGCTAAGTTTTTGCTTACTGTGATTCTTCCCAATATCTTCATAAACTCGGGACCGGTAAACGTGCCTTTAAACAAGCCATGGGGAAACTCAAATCCTTCTGTTTGCCATTGTTCAGAATTCCGCCTTGTAGAGGTCGGTCTCAATACTCAATCCACACTATCCGTCTATTTTTTCAAAACAGGTGTCGTTGTTTGCCGGCCGCACTTTACTGAGTCTCTTATTAAAAATGAGTTTCTTAGCCTCTGAGCTTTGATCCTTATAAACATTCTTCAAGGTTTCATGGCATCCCATTAACTCAAAATGATTTATTTTGCAGCTACGCACTTGTGACCCTCAGTTCTCCAGAGGAAGCAGAAAGGGCTCTTCAAGTAGGCACCCGCGACCTAACTTTTAATGCATCTTCTAGTTGGACAGAACTATATTTGAAAACCGCCGACTGCGTGTTAACTACGCTCGTCGCCAGTTTAAGTATTCCAGTGAAGGAGAATTATCTCATTCTGACCGGTATCCACCTCCACAACGTTCTTTCGGTTAGTCGACATATCTGCCTCTGTTATTCTATTGTATATTACTTTAAAACGTTTAATTTAAAGTGATAGCCAATCTAATTCCTTTATAAAATGACGTTTCTCCAATTATTTGGGGAAATCTAGATGTAAATAAAGTATAGCGAAACTTCAGGATTTTGAACACCAACACTCTCCACCTACTTTGCTTTTGATCAGGCTTATTTGTGGTCAAAGGTAATGCAGCGACCGACAAAGCTGTACAGTTTCTCTATGCGTGCCGCGTACGACTTGGTCCTTACTCTATACGTCCCGTGATTCTTCTGAGATCTGGTGCAAATGCGAGTGGCTTAACTGCTACATTAAGGGGCCATTCCAGCCTGACCTCTAGTCCAGTGCACAAACGAGTAACTCATTCAGTTAGCAGTCACTCAAACCACAAGTAGTAGCCCGTTTGGACGGGTTCTAGCGTGCCAGATTGGTTATGACCGGGAATACACTGATTCGTCGTAGGGATGGATGCCTGTACTGTGTCAGTCTCTCCCTTTCCTCGCCCCTGTACCCGTGAAGTATGTCGGGGATCTAAGCACTGGTTGTCCGACAGCATTTCAATGGATTCGCGATCGAATGATCAGAACAATGTTTTGTAGCATTGGGTATGGACATGAAGTCTATCAGCATTGATAGTAAACTTGGTGGTGGTGGTGATGATGGGGGTGATGAGGATAATAATAATAGCAATAATAATAGTGTCTCGTGACATGGGATGTGGATTCCTCGTTATGACATCGCGCTAGGCCCGTAAACACCAAATGAGGCCATTCCTCGCCGAAAAATTCCGTTGACAGAGTTAATACGATGCCAACGGTTGAATGCTTCCGTTGCTGGTACGTGACACTTTCTTTTTGCGGACCTCTTCCATAGTCTTGACCCTTGTTATTCTGTTCGTTTCGAAATAAATGCGCCAGATTTAGGGCAGTTCGCCAAACCTGTCGACTCCGTGCGAGGCCAACACAGGCCTCGGGGTTGTTTTTCGGGTGCCCGAGAGAGATGTTAAGGGTGTTTTTGTGTCGTCCTTGTGCACCTTATTTACAAGCGCCCGTAGCGGCACAGTCGTTTGGCCAATCGTTTGTCGGCCACACTCACGGAGGGACCGCTCCACCGTTGCTACATCCATCCCAGCCTCGTTCAAAATCGTAGCTGGGACAGCAGCCGTTTACATCCTCAGTTTCGTGTTGGGGAATATGCCTCAACGCTTTCAGTCGGAAAGTTATCGCTTGCCTTAGGTCTTACTGGCGTTGGAGAGCTGACTTACAATCTCATCAACAATTTTAATTTTTCGTGCAATTCTGCCTTAACTACGCGTGCTTAATTTATTCAAATCCACTTTGGCACCGACGATATCCATGGTAGATAATTGGTTTCTGTCACAAGTATACTTGGGTGCGAAGGCGCCTTCAGGATGGACGTCACCTTAGGGGGTAGAGGGACGAGCCTATGGGGTTCAGCAGTTTGCCAAAATGTTCCTTTCACGGAGGCGTCGTGTCTGACATTGAATATCACGCCGTCATCAGCATCAGCTGGTTGACTGTCCCGCACAATCGGCCGGTTCACGGGAGAGGGGAGAGAGAGAGAGAGTGAGATCGACCGGGTACTCCGTCCGCACAGCACTCAGCACATATGCTTCACTATAAACAGTCTGACGCGTTTCTTAACCATCGCGATGGGCCAAAAGCAGTGACTTAGGCGGCTGCCAACCGACGGGATAATTTAGTTTTCTTCTCAGAACATAATCAGGCTATAATGGTTCCTTTTTGCTGTTACCTTTGTGAACCTCCGACTCCGTTGGGATCCGAGCCGCTCCTTTGTTTGTCTAAAAAACTGGTCCACCGTGCGCGGACTAGGCCTGTGTGGCACGCATAGACGGGCCGTTTAGCTTTGTCAGTCAGTGCGCCCGATCCCGCCCTCCGGTGTTCTTAACCCTGTTTTGACACCGGGCTCAGGTGGGGTAAAGAGGGAGTGCGGTAAACGCAGTGCAAGTCTGCCATCACTATAAAATAATTGGCGCGCAAATAGCCATCCCCGCGCCCACCCTGTCCTAAGGTATACGGTGGACATCGTCGACAGTGACGACGGAACTGTCATCACACCATCCTTATTCTCTCTGATCATTGAGGCCAAGGGATTGTGCGACTGAACTGTTTTCGAAATCCCTTACAGTCTGCCTGCTATCCCCATTGGCTGAAACGCGTTCTAAATCTTGGCCAACCTTCTCCGGAGTTTCCTGCGGCCATACCACACAGTGCCTATAATTTTATGACCTGAAGGGCTGGGGCTCAGTTTGTAGGCACAGTCATTTGGATCGTTCCGCTGAAGACCCGATAATTGTTACGACTCCCACTACTCATTTCCGTAACTGCCTATGTTCCAGACCCAAATCTACATATTTCGCAGCAAATTGTTGCTAAAGCCCCTTTTATTTTGACCCAGCTGTGAAAAACTCGGCAACGTCGGTGGGATTCGAATTCACGACATCAAGGGGAAGACATAAGTACAGCCAACGCTCTATCCACCTGAGCTACAATGGCCAACTGAGAGCCGTGAATTTAGGCACACTTTGGTCAGGTTGTCCGCCCAGTCTACTGAAACGCCTGTGATCCACCAAATCTGATACAGTAAGCCGACTGCCCCAGCATCATTTCCCAAGTAACCCATCTGGAATCCACCAGATGACCACCAGACTCATAAACTGCCACTCGTGGCGCTGGGTAGTTAACAGCCGGGTGCGTGGCAGGTGCCGTCTTCCCTGATGGCTTGGGAGAAGATCCTCCAGCCATCTGTACACTTCTGTCTAACCAAATATATTTCTGATACAATATATTCAGGCGAATCAGGTCGGATGGGCTTTCCATTGTCGTCCACATAACTTAGGTGAGGTGTCGCCCGGTTGTTCGTAGTGCTTCGAATGTTACATTCTGTAGAAGACCGCGATCCGATCTCGCTGGCTCAGTCGGTATCTATGGGATTTTTTATTTCCTCTGAACAAAGTCAATTTATTCATAAACCGTGGGAGGCTAGTACGCCTATTTCTGTCATATTTCGTACCAGCAGTCTTTCGTTCTTCATCCACAGGCCGGTAAGGCCTTAGCTTTGATCCCAAGTCAATAGGTTTGAAGTCCAGTGAGGACTACTAAGTCGCAGGCCTACGCTCTGACAGTTGTATCCAAGCGTACTCAGTTCCTTGAAATTTTTACTTCCTAACTATAGAATGAAACACCAGCCTTCTGTCTTGTCCTAAGGCCGCATGCTAGACCAAAATGGCATAGAGCAGCTAGTTTTGAAGACAACGTCAGGGAGACTGGGGTGACCATTCAGGCTCGTGAGGGCAAGTGGCTTCTGTTCTCCACTCAGGATGGGTCAGTGTTAGTCCCCTCCCAAATTACTCCTCGTCGTTAGCAAGCCCCGTTTATCGCATCTCGACAGTTCCAGGTATTGTAAGGTCTGCTATTTATTGTAATACGACTGACGTTGACGCCAAAGACGTGGATGACTGTAGGTTATGTCATCCATCCGGTGAAATATTTAAAGAGACACTAACTATTATCACTCTTCTTCAAGGCATGAGATATCCAGTCAACGATTAAGTTTGCGGCAAACCAAGTGTTAGTTCAGAAGGGGTCCTTTTAAGTTAACCAAATTCCCGGGCGACTATCGGTCAGTAAAACGGATGAACCGTTACGGTTGGTGACATTCCAACTACCGGAGTATGCGACCGCAACCCGTCTCCCCCCGCACTCCCCATTCTTATGTGGTCGCGCGTCCCCCGTCGCGCACACGTTTCAAGCCGCCCTATCGATCGGTCCCGCCTTATTTTTGCCGCGCAAGCCAAAAAGCGCCACGTCCAGCGGCGCGGGAGGCTTGGCTGGAGGAAAAGAGGGTGGGAGGAAGCCGCCAGGCATGGAGGTCAAGGATGGCATTGGTCCGGTGCACAAATGTTCCTATCTCTTGGATAAGATGGTCGCAGACTACGAACGCTCCAATCAGCCCTGGAGCAAGGACTACCCCTACATGTCCAACGCCAGCCAGCAGAATATTCTCCCCACCTTCACAAAGGAGTTTTGTATATTTGAAAGCAGATACGTGGACCGCAGTATGCGACGCCGGCTGCTGCCCTCCTATGCGAAGGAGCGAGCCAAAGATTCGTCGATAGGGAAGCTCAATGAAAACTACTCCTCAATGTTCTACGCTCAGCATCGAGCCCATGCCCGCCATATAGGCAGAACCCTGGCTGAAAGGGCCTCCAACGGTCCCCCCTATGTCCCGCCCACTGAGCGTTTTGGTTACTCTCCTGAAGAGTCCCACCTGTGTCTGCCGCCTGAGCACAAAAATCCTCCACCAGGTTTCCGTTCGGCGATTAACCTTAATTCCTCTGCCTGCCTGGGCTTTTGTGCCCCGACAGACAGGATCCACCTGCTGAAAAAACACGAGCTGTCTGGTCGATTCTTCTTTTAGTCGCCATATGCCTCCATGAGGGTCTTTTTGCGTCATCACGCTGATCATCATTTTACCGCCTTCTTGCTGTACATATGCGTATACAAACGCGAACTCACTTCTTTAGGTGGATCGTGTATTCTCAGGTCTTTCCAATTCCTTGCCTTTGTTGCGCAGGCACTATACTTGCTTCGTCGAATAAAAATACCTTCTTTCTCCGCGTCTCCAGTCCCAGTATCCTTGTTCGGTTAATTACTTGATAATCTACTATTCCATGTCTTCAAGATGCAACAAAACAACTGACGATAGTTTCAAGGAGAAGCATGTAGGATGGGAGGGTTTGTAGATTTGACAAGACTCTATTTTTTTAATTTCATCATAACTTAATCGTTAACTTGGAGTAGATCAGTCTGTTTGAGACTTACAGACTCAGACCGTGTTATGCAGCGGTGAAACGCGTGTCTATGGGTTCTTAGCTAGTACCTATGCCTTCAGTATGGTGGATCGTGCTATTTACGCAAGACTCTGTTCCTTACGGCCTACAGTAGGTGTGCTAACTCATGAAATGTTGACTGAAATTATGAAATACGTTGTCGTTTCGAAAAGATTACTTAAGTAGAGTTGTAGAGCTAATCATCTTGCAGCATAATTCTATAATAATTCAGTTACCTCGGGATGCCGGCTTTCGAATGAATTTCATTCCGGCCGCATGCAAAAATCAGACTGCACAAAATGACCACTTCAGTAGCATGAATTTTTCTCATTGACTTTCGATGTCCTCAAAAATTCAATTATAGTTCATAGAAAACATGCATAAATATATTCAGTTTTTTACTCATTTGGTAGAAAATTACTTCTTTCAATTTGATACTTGAAGAACGGGTATAATTCGGTTTTAAAAAAGTTTCCGGTTGTGAGCTTTTTTAGTACCATGAAATGTCCGTTAATAAAATATCGTGCCTCTTAGTAATGTGGCCTCTTAAGTTTGCCATGTGTCTCAAACCCACTGCTAAATTTCATGGACTCCATACGATCTCCTCTTAACAACGTAGAGAAATGTATGGTTTTTCGTACACGGAGAATATACGGCTTGTGGTTTGGAAACCCTGAATGCAAGTGTAACGGCAGGTCGTGTTCAAAATTATCCGGAGATTGAAAAGTTTTTGAGAACCAAACTATATACCCTCTCTCAAAGTTTAAAATTGGGAGGAGTAATTCTCTACCAAATGAGTAAGAGAATGAATATCTTTATGCATGTTTCTATGAACTATAATTGAATTTTTGAGGACATCGAAAGTCAATGAGAAAAATTCAGGCTACTTAACCAGTCATTTTGTGCAGAGTCTGGTTTTTGCATGCGGCGGGAAAGCAATTCGTTCGAAAGCCGGCATCCCTAGGTAACTGAATTATTATAGAATTATCCTGCAAGATGATTAATTTTACAACCCTACTTAAGTAATCTTTTCGAAACGACAACGTATTTCATAATTTCAGTCAACATTTCATGAGTTAGCACACCTACTGTACCTCACCGCGAGGGTGCCTGTAACTGGGTTAGTCGCAGTCTTTTCTTTCTAAATTTGCTAGGGACAGCTTTATTTTCTGTTGATTTCTGGCTGGCTCTGTACACCAACTGTCGAAGCATTTCTAATTAACGGAGACATTTCCCATCTGCTTGATTCTGCGCCCCTTTACCAATGGTATACGTGATCGCACATAACCAAACATAGCAGGTAAAATTAATGTTCAAATGAAAATCAGTCAGCGTGTACTCCCCGTTGGGAATCCATGTAAGGGAGTTCCGCAGGCGAAAGACTAAGCGGATACTGTGATTGAAGGTAACTTTGGTCATTTCCCCTTGTTTAGCTTCTTGTAATGCGTCCAATAGGTTCTTTTCACTGTAAAGAAGAAACCTGAGGTCAGACCCGTTTCCCGAAAAGCTTTAGATGCACAATTTCAGTCTTATTATGGTCTTTGCCAGTTGCAATAACTTTTTTTCGGTCAGATGTGGTTATGTAGCCGCACTCGAGGTAAACAAACCCCAACCGCTTGTAATACGTAACCGGCGGTAATAGGGGGTCTTTACAGGTGGGACCGGGGAACGCACAGGCGACGAGGTCAAGTAGTTGTATGCAAAAGAAAAACTTTTGGAAATGCGCGGTTGTACTTTGAGTGGTTGAGGAATAGTTGCCCTAACCCTTACCCCTAACCCTAACCCCAACAGTATTGTGTCCAAAAGGCGCGGCTACACAACCATAGTTTAGCATTTTTTCATTTGAAAGGCGACAAAAGCGAAAAAAACGCACCGATTATGATTTCCTCCAGCTGTTTAGGAAACGTTTACGTGCGCTTGGTCATCTTGTCATGTACGCAGGAGCGTTGCCCTCCATTCTATTGATAGTCGAGAGTAAGGTCTGTCGTCTTGTTATCATTGCTTCGGTCACGCTTTATCCTATCTTAACAGGTCCTCCGAAGACAACCAAGCCGGAAGCACCCCACTCGGAAACCGGTTCACGGAATCTTGTCGACTATGGCGATGTTGACTTCTAGACTCCCCTTCTTTCCTCTGATTCTGTACATTTGTCTTTTACAAAAATATACGCATATACATCCGACATACAACTGCGTCCTTCGGAACCTTATTTTCAACTTTTCATACACTGCTCCTCTTGCCGTCTTCTACGTCGACCAAGTTTTTATCTCTATTTTATAACATTGACTCTAGTTCATCGTGCTCATTTGTCTTAGCGACAGTGAATAGGCCGTATCAGTGCATGCTCCGTCTGTATGAAAGTCAACCTAACCGACTGGAAGTGGGGCGATGTCCTTGCTGACAGTTGCTAATGATGCTTGGAAGGAGTATAATTCTCTTCCTTTGTCCTTTTCCCTTGTAGCTAATGGTGTGCATGTTGTAATAGTACTGACTGACAGTCACTTTAAGCATTCGGCATCATTGGTGGGAAAGAGACATCTCCTATGTAGTGGCTGACAGTCTGAAACGCACCGACCCGCTCAATACTTCTTCACAACCCGATGAACTGGCCCTTTGAGCAGTTTTTCTGGAAGGCATATTATAAGTTATCGGATGTGGGCGCGCTAATGACGAAGAAATTAGGCGTTTCATGTTCTGCGGTCGTCCACATACTTGGTTATATGGTACTTTTCGATGTGGCTTTTCGATGTCTAGGTATTGTGCTGCGAATGCCTGAAGAACGTCTACGACTGTCCGTGTTCTGTCAAGTCCGTGGTAGGAAGTACAGATTGCCGACAGGATGATTAAACGCGTCCATGCTGTGCCAGCACTCGCCATGTGTTGAGCTGAGTTTGAGAAGGTCGACCACTTCTTTTGAAAAGGTTATTATTCTGAAAAAATGGGGTCATACTGACATGTATACAATGTTTATGCTATTTTTATATGCCTTCTTTCAGCCACTCGTCACGGTAGTTGTTTACCATTTCCCATTTTTATGATATGAGCCTAAGTAGTGGCTTGGGCCATCGTAGTATGTTCCTGGTCTGATGGCAATAACAATGGGTGGAATAATTTTTCTTCTCGCGCTCGCCATTTTTGAAGCCCTCCCGTTAGAGGAGACCTATTTGCGATGCTCCTTTGGCCGACTGTCCCCTTAAGGCCCGGAAGTCAAGACTGCTTTCCGGTCTGCTTCAGAGTAAACTTTCTCGGCCATGAGATCATGTTCGAATAATATACCCTCATGAGAATGCCCGGGACGCCTTTGCTGCGTCTCGAGAAAAAGCGTCAGGTGGTTGTGGCTGGGGATCATCTCCTCCACGAGTGATAGATTTTTCAAAATTTACTAAAAGTACAGAAGAGACCGTTTAGGGCACCTTAAAGGCCAAATAGTTCAAACAGGAAACCATATACGGAGAACCTGCTGGGACAGTCAATGTTGCCATCTGTTGAGATCTGTACTGGCATTCATAAAAGCAGTTTAAATGGGCCATGTCACACTTTCTCATAAGATCTGCTGGTATTTGTCGGTAGTGAACGCGCCTCAAGGGCCCTCCAATATGGAGTTTATATGGCCTCATTACCATCACAGTCTAAACCGTCTTTACTAATACTAACAACTGGAGTTCTGGCCTTAAAACTATTACCCAAGCTGCAGCCGCGCCTATCGCTGAATTTTGAGGTAGGAAATACAGTTTGGCTGCGAGTGGGACCCCTGTCGTGGAGGCCAAGGGCGCGATTACTGCAGGACTTAAGTGGGAGAGATGTTGCAATGAATGATCTGTCCAAGCCTCTTGTCTGGTTGCGTAGCCCAGGTGCTACTTATCCGTGCATCTCTAACTTGTTTAGCCCCCAAACAGAGGGTAATACACGATTGCTTGGAAGGCATTGAATCTCTAGAGGCCGGGGTAGCTGTCTCTAGGTCATGTGCATTTTTTGAATCTATGAGCCTGCTCACAAGCAAAACACACTATTTGCCGATGAATTCTGCCCGCCCCGACGAAGCCCTCGAGTGAGGAATTTTGGGTCCCATGTCCTTTTTCGGCCTTGAACAGTGAGCCACACTGGGGCTACACCGCGACCGGAAGAAGCGCTTTTGCCCTCGTTTCTGGCTGTTTTTTTCGTTAGGGAAGTGCGTGACAGTTTGAACCACTGAGTGGACAGGCGCTAGACCATAGGAAAAAACCAGTAACTGGTAAGGTCAAAAGAAGGCCCCATCCTTTGGGCATGCAGAATTTCTAGATACCTTTTTCTCATGCGGGTAGGCTCAATCACCGTCTTTGCTAATCTTCGAGATAGTACTTCTCAGTGAATGATTTCTTTTCCACTCTTGACCTGGACGTTCTTCTCACACGCAATACAGTTCGCTAAAATCGCGATTTAACCTACTACATGCTTTAAATAAGGCCTGTGGGCGTGTGCATGTCTCTTGCTGATAGATGCATTCGAGAAGTTGGAAACTTGCTCATGTAACGAACTCACGATTGCATTATCAGCACGATAGAATGTGTGGGCGGTAAGACTTATCTACGGGGTGATTTTCGACTCTATGCCCTTAATAATTTGGGTCATTGCTGGAGTACCACCGCATCTACTTTGGCCTCTACGAAACTGCTGAGCTTAGCGACCGCGACCGGTAATTACCGTATCAATCTCTGTATGCAAACAGTTGCAAGTTAACTGGGATGTTTCACAATCCGGCGAAATTATCCGTGGTCTAGGTTGGTCAGTAGGCACGAGTCACTCGTGCTGTGACATGCACAGAAGGAAGTTTGTGCCAAAATGGATTCCCATCCACTTTGAACATTGCTGCTGGAATACGGTGGATGAAGGAGGAGCGAGCGCTACAGATGCTGCGCGTCCTACAGTAATTGACTTTATTGAGCCAATCATCATCAAAAACTGGAGCCCACTTCAGCAACCAATCCCCGTCCACTCACATGCGGCATCGGTCACCAGGATACTTCACTTGGCAGTCCGGCCGTGTGCCTAGGTGCTAAAAGCTAGCTAGTACCTGTGTTGTCAGTACGGTAAATAACTACACAGGACTCTGCAGTGCCGACCTCAGTGTCTCTTACCTCTCCCATGTGCCAGTCCACTCTCCAAGTCAGTCAACCACCTGATGCTGAGATTGGGCGCAAGTGGATGGCGCGGCGTGGAGCCTGCGCCTGGGCTCACCACCACACCCCTCCTCAATGTGTGGCATCTATCTCGTCATGCGGGGATTCTGCGCATCCTGGTTAACGCGTGCCGTGCCCCAAGCGGGCGGCCGGGTTGGTCCAGCGCCTATCACGTGTGGCTCGCTGTGAGGGCACTCCGCCCACCAGTTGGATCATAAACCCAATCTGTGTCGTACTTTCATCATAGATTACAATGGAAGGACTAAGACATCTTGTAAGGTGTGCATTACCTCCAGTGTTTTTAAAGGGTAACTGAAAACCTGTCGGTGGTATACTCGGCTGTTTCACACGAACTGCCCGCTTTTCGCTCGGCTGTTGGCTTATTGCTGCATGGGTATGGCTGCGGATTGATTAGCAAGGGGTACACTTCCAAAATAATTCGCAAACGGTAGCCGGGCGTCTTCCGTCTGAACATCTTTCTATTCATCTACATAAATCAACGTCGCAGATGGCCCTCTCTTTGAATAGAGTACATTTTCCGCTTGGTTTTCAATGCCTGCATATACTTGATCGTATCACGTGGGAGGAGTTTCTAGGTATCAGTTCCTTACGCTGATTTTACAAGAACTGATGCCTTTATTTTAGTACCTGAAAGAGGGAGGATATTTGGTTTTTTAAAAAGACCTGTTAGTACCCGCATATCTTCAAGTAAAACTTATGTTCTCACTTGTTCTTAAGAATGCCATGTATGCTATCTGTACGCCATGTACCTTATCTGAGGTAAGTGTTCTCCACAAGGAGACTTTTTGTGCTCGTATAATAGTTTAATTGCGTACTATGTAAGTAGCAGCAACGAACTGTAAGCTGGTAATGTACAGCAACCATCGTGCGAAAACTCCCCGTCTTAAAAACCTTAGGACCGAAAGCTTTGCCCTCTTCAAATGCCGAATTTGAAGGGCACTTAATGCTATATGAAATCCCTACAAGAAATACGTGCACTGTTTGTACAAAATATGATTAATTATATATAGGCGTCATAGATCTGGGGAAAAAAGTGCACTCTGCCCAAATAGAGATTATTCTGTAACTTTGATGCATGCAGGTGAACCAAAAGATGTCCAGCCAAAGTCCAGCACACTGCTGTGTGAGAATTGGCTTAGAAGCATGTCCTCAGCCAAAATGCGGCATTTCACCTGAAATACCCATGGACGATCGAACTCACTACTGCGTTTAGACTTACTCGTCGCCCCACATTTAGATCTTAATGCTTGCCTCTACAAGAGCGGTTCTTTCTGAGGGTTCGGCACTTCACGACACATCAATCGTTTTTTCTCTAAAAGAGCTTTTAGGTGCAAGAGATTACGTGAGCTGAACTAATTAGAGGTATTGAACGCACTTCCACTTTGATTCCGACACTGCAGTATGGTGGTTTTGGGCCGGAAACCTGTCTATCCGTTTGTACAAATCACGCGCGGGAAATACGACCAGTTAAGGAATGAGCATTTTCCACCGGTTTTTTGTGCCTGTGTGGACTTTATATTTCGTTGCGGGGTGCAGAAAATTATATTCCTTATTTTTGCCATGCAGGAGACGACGTGGTGCCGAATGTGCAGCCCCACTAGGGATTACTTTATGGTATGGCTACTGTAATGATTTGAGTAGTCATGTGCGCGTCGGATTGCACTTTTTGGTGACGAATGATTGTGCGGCTTCGTTGTATAGTCTCTGCAACAATTTGAGTGGTCGTATTTGCGACGGCTTACACTTTTTTCCGTCGTTTATGGACCGACCTCCTTGCCCATTTTTCTGTCAGTGGGACTGTACAACCATTCATACGATAGGGTTAGCAGCTGGAGTCGGGGTTAACACTTTGGTCTAGGTTCAGTTGGTATGGTTAGTAGTTACGGTTAGAGTTGGCAGTTAGGGTTGGTGGTTAGTGTTAGGGTTAATGTTTATGGTTAATAGTTAGGACAAGTGTCTCATTATACTACACACTGCGGATCGACCTTGAAAATGTCCTCCGCTCTCCTGATTGGTTTACTTCACCCCGAACTGGGTTTTCCTGCACTTTCAGCCGATTGTCGCGGTTTGCTCAGGCTTCCCGGCACTTGTTCCAAGTTCTTTTATACTTGGCGCCAATGATCCCCGAATTACTTGCGTACTTAAATAGCCGTCTTGCTTTCGGTTGCCTTGGTTACCCTTCCAGCGTCCGTCGTCTCCGTAGGCCTCACCCATAAAGCTCTTATTATCACCATTTCCGTCTTACAGGCGTTCTTGCTTTCTTCGCTAGTAGGGTTTGCACAACCACTCGTCGCCGACGACTTCTCTAAAGGTACTCAAACCTAATTTTTTTGCAACTCCGTGCACACTTGAAAACCTGTGTTTTTGGTTGTGTATTCGGTTTCCGGACTACAATAAGTATGTTATCTCATAAGATGTTGACCGAAATTCTGAAATGTGTTTTTGATTGGAAAAGGTTACTTAAATATAATTGTAATCTCTGTTATCGTGCAGCATATTCCCTATACATTTCAGTCATGCCAAGATGCCGTTTTTATGCGCTTCTTTCCGGCCATCTCAAAAAGCGCGCTCTGTAAAAATGGCTACTTGAGTAGTATGCTTTTTTCCAATTTTCGACTCCCCTATAAATTGACATATATTTTATAGAAAACAGGCACCAAAATATTTTTTCCTAAACTTATTTGGTAGGAAATTACGTCTTCTTCAAAGTTCATACTTGAAGAAGGGGGTATCTATCGGTTTTCATGAAGTTTCTGCTTATGCGATTCTTTATAGCCTCGAAACATCCATTCATAAAGCGTCAGATATGCTGCTCGTAACGTGTACAACACGGGCCACATCCATCTAATAATTTTTGAGTCCTATATGACGTCTTCTTAATATTGTATAGAAATGTATGATTTAGGCAGAATTGTATTACCGACAGAGACAAGGGAGACTGAAGTGGCCATTTCTGGATTGTTAGCCGTCGTCAGCCAGTCATCCCCAACCCCGAAGTGTGGAACACCTGGGGTTCAATCCACCTTATATTCCCGATCGCAACCGAAAAGAAAACGAGCCCGTGGTTCAGTGGTTAGAAGCGTCGGACTTCAAATCAACAGGTCATGGGATCAAGCCCCAGGTATCCCACACTTCGGGGTTGGGTATGACTAGCTGACGACGGCTAATAAGCCAGAAATGGCCATTCCAGTCTCCCTTGTCTTTGTCGGTACTACCATTCTGCCTATATATCATGCGCCGCTGTGCGGCTGCTGGCTGGGCTCGAGAGAGAGCTCTTAAGACACAACGGAACTAGTCAGTTCCCTGAGAACGATGTATGATTTGTCTTACACGGGAGATGTACAACTTTTAGTTTGGAAGCCCTGAATGCAGGTGTAACAGTAAGTGGGGTTCAAAGCTATTTTGGACTTTCTTCTAAAATCGGAATACACCCTTTTTAGGGTATATAATTTGAAGAAAACGTTGTTTTCCACCAAATAAATACAATAAAGGAAGTTTTTGTGCATATGTACCATGAAATGTGTTTGGGTTTCTAAAGTCGTCGAAATGCATTGGGGGCAAATAAGACTACTCAAGTGGTTATTTTTTACAGTGTGGTGTCTTTGCAGGCGGCCGAAAAGAAAAACATTCAAAGGCCGGCAACCTGACGTGACTGAAATATGCTGCGATTATGTCGCACGATAATTAGTAGGTCAACCCTACTTAAGTAGTCTTTTCTAATCGAGGACATATTTACAATTTCGGTTAATATTTCACGAGATATCACGTCAGTCGTATTTGTCGTGTTCTCCAGAAAGATAATCTATTTCCTGTACTTCTGATGGGGTCTTCTGGTGCCCACAAGATATTAACCACGTCGCACACTGTGTGCAAAGACAATGGTACAGTCGTCTCAGAAGTTCTCCCACTCGCAAGGCTTTCTGGGAACGAAATATACCTTTCCAGCTCCAAATTAAAATCGGTGCGCGTCCACGCAGGTGAACTACAGGCAACAGGATTTATTTACCTTCCATAACCGATTTAATTATCTTATACAAATATATAAAATCAGTCAAGACCTGAAAAGCCTGAAGGTGATCGAAGGGATCTCCAACGGATGGCCGACATACTACAGCATATGAAGTTATATGGGGTCCTATTCGATGATAAACAATGTTACGACTGCGCTTGAACAATTTTCTTCACTTTAGAGCATATTTTACACATCCCATTCGACGGTACATGAGTTGCGATGTAACCTGTGTCTCATTAACTGGGGGTGGAGACGGGGTAGTGACTGCATGTTTTCTACGGTTGCTGTGTGGTCCTTCATGCGTTGATGTGGCAAGTTTCATTGTGTCATCCATTACGCCATAGCTTAGGTACTGATGAGTTCAATTACCAGCCTGGTCCGAATTCTTTAGATGCATTCGCACACCTTTCGGCCACCCTCAACGAGATCCTCACTTACTTGAGGTAACATTTTTGTCGACCAGATCATGTCCTACCGAGAGTGTCTCCTCTTGGTTCTATCTCTTGCTCTTCTCCTTTTAAACCTCATAGCCTACAGACTATGCTACGCAACGGTGTTCTTCATCTACTTGTACGACCCCCGTACCGGCTAGCCTTCCGCCGGATGCTGTTGCCTCCTCCTTCCTCGGCCCCCGACCTTGACCCGACAGCCATATACATTGCTTCCGACCGGCGACGTTTCTACCGGTCAGTTGGAATCTTCTGTTTACTCCAGGCCTCCGCATGGGGCGCATTTACGGCCTATGTAGCACGCAAGTCTGAGGTGAATTGGGAAACCCTGGTCGCAGACTTGGATTGGTTCAACCAGAAGCTTGCTCGTCGTCTTGAGTCGTTGACTCCGTCGGCTCTGAAACGACTTATCCTCCGTCGATCCAAAACGCAGGAGAATGTTGGAGCGAAGACGGAAGAGACTGCTACTGTTGACACCGCATTTGAGAGGCAGGAGACGCAGGGGGTTGCTACCGCTGTCGCTCCAAGCACTAAAACTTCAGCAAATGCGGCTGAAAACACGGAGTGGACAGATAACCAACCTTTTTCACAGATCCTCATGTCCATGGCGAAGGACATCTCGTCCAGCTTTAGGACGTCCTTGGGCATCAGCGAAGACAAAAAGAGTATCCAGATACAAACGGGAAACCTTCTCTCCTTGCTCACCGGTTTCATGTGTGAGTTTTACTCTCATGGGGCTTTGAAATATTCCGGTATCCGGATTTAGTTCTCGAGTGTTCAACAGGGTGCCAGAGGATTCTTTCTCTGGAAGATGGTGGTTTGGTTTTAATCCTGATTACTGCGTTTTACGGACGCCAGTTTCAGAATCCGTACCTCTTCTGTTTGCACTTATCTTTTTTCCCGAAGAAAATGTCACTAATTGTTGTCCGCAACTGCCCCAAAATTCCAGGTGTTCACTCTTTTCGCCACCTGCGAAGTGTAGGAGGTAAATTAGTCAAGTCGTCTCCAACTTGTAAGAACAGCCTAAGCTGTTCAGCAAGATCGACAGATAGGGTGTGATTAAGTTAAAGGTTATCTTCTTTGGGACCCTTTGGTCCGCTGGGATTGCCGGCCAATCTGCAATGTCCTTACTGCACATCGGTCTTTTCCTGGCCTTGGACGTTTTTTTGAGGGCCTGGTCAAATCCATGTTATCAGACCGCGTGTGTACAGACTTCTTTGCCTAACTGAGACGCTGAAAGGTGAAGTCTCGCATGGTAGCTTACCTGGAGGGCCTACAGATGTTGGAATTTCTCCGAAGAGCTACGAGATGACAGTCCTACAGACAAGCACGCATACTCCATGCAGGTGTCACTTCGTCGGGAGGGGGGACAGTCAGTCTCCAACTAGGTGGGTGCGATGAATGTTAAGGCCACAAAGGACAACAATATCATTGAACGCTGCCAATCCACAGGAGGGCCTTACCTGACCCTGTCGCCCTCCGACCCACGGCGTCCCCACCCTGGTTCTATTCGGCGCCCTCCATGACAGCTTGGCGCACCTTCTTGATACTGTGGATTCTGGAGCGGGCTGAATCTGTTCTGCTGGCTGTTAAAAATGACAGGAAGTGACAGGGCCTATAAATGCTCCACGAAGTAGGCGCGATGGTGGTTTTTGCGTAGATTTCTCCATTATGAATCAGACTTGTCTTGCGGCCAGCTCACTTCACTATTCCCCCACCGGTCATATTCGGGTGACAGGGCAAATTTAAGGCAATCGCAGTTAGGCGTGTGCGTAGTGACTAACAAACCTAATCAGCCTGGTTACGCATGTGATCTCCCTCCTAGACCTACATGTAACCGGACTTCTGTGATTGAGTTTCGCGTTTCACAGTAATGACTGTCATAAAGGTCAAAGGTAGGGGGCAGCCACTGCAGACTGAACATCACTCCTGTGTAGAACGGAGTCGTTCCATGAGTTGCAGCTTATCCGAGTCGTCACTGCTAGCTCGCCCCGATAGTTTCAATGCGTGTTTGGTCATTGGCAGGGAGAAACAAGCGTTGGTTCTGGGGGTGGCTCCACCCACTCTTCTCTGTCCCATACATTCGTGGCCTGTCGATGGGGAGAGAGACTGGGTGCATTGGTTGACGTGCGTCGCCGTCTAACCAGTGCCACGCGCGGATAAAGGCAAGTAATGAGGAGGAGCCAGCCCTCAAGGTCCAAAGAGCAATCAAAGACCTTTTGGCTCAGAGTACCGCTGTTGTCACGGTTTCTCGCACTGTTTATTCGAGTCAGTTTTAGCGCGACAAGAGGCCCGACAAGCTGCTGAAAAGACGTTTTCTGCAGTTGAAGCAAACATGTCATGTACGGACACTCAAGCGTCTTATTGGCATGCAAGAAATGTCCTTTTTGGCCAGTGAAATGGCGTTCCATCTTCTTCGTGGCCGCATATTCGGATTAAGTTAGTTTAAATAGAAAAAGTGATGCCAGTAGATTACAGAGTCGGGCGAAATTGACTGCGTTTCGCCACGGTCCCTATCTTGCCTCTGACAGACTCCCCGTTGAACTCGCTCATCCAGAAACTTTTACCGGCATAGTTAGTCACTGGGACATCTAAGTTGTCAGCTGCCTCTGCATCAGGTGGGGTTCTTGCGGAGAAAAGGACTTTTAGCTAGAGCTACCTCCCTATTTGGGACCTCGCATCGCATTTCCCTTGAACTCTCATGACATCAACGTGTGCCTGGACACCACTTGCATTTTATTCTGGAATTTCAGCATGTCATTTGCCAACTATATTTCTTTGAATGAAGTTCACTGTTATCCAAAAACGTCTTCTCAGATATCCCTTCTGTAAGTTAGTTTTTCCGTCAAAGCCAAAAATTAATATATTCTTGAGTCGGATGTGGTTTGGTAGCCCCGTCTGAAGTAAACAAACCCCAGTCACTTCTAATATTGGACCAGTGGTAATAGGGGTTTTTACAGGTGGAGCTGGGGAACGCACAAGCGACTAGGTCAAGTAGTTGTATGCAAAAGAAAAGCTATTTTGAGTGCGCGGTTGTACTTTGAGTGGCTGAGAAATAGTTGCACTAACCCCTAACCCTAACCCCTAACTACAATCGCTTATCCTAACCCCCAACCCCTAACCTTTAACTCTGACCCCCAGCTCCTAACCTTAACCCCAACAGTATTGTGCTCATCGGGTGGGGCTACCAAACCACATCTTACTTATTTTTGTTATGAAGGTTTCGAGGAATCTCTTTGTTCGTGTGTTGGCGGGTTAACATGGCCGGTCGTTTCCCCTTAGGTATCTTCACATGCTTCATGGGCGGTCTTATCCCGCGCCGAGTCGTGCGCCGCATCAACATTGTGCCGAGAGATATGGGCACCTCTGCTGTGACCAAGGCCAAGCCGACGGACGACCCTCTTCTTTCCGTGAGCACTTACAGCTACTTCGGTCTGTTCCCGCGGGAGCGGACGTTCCAAGTGCCCATCAGTCAGATTCGTGCCACCGCACCGTACAAGGAGGGCAACAAGTTCATCAATATCATGATTACTGGACGTATCTTCACCTTCTATGTTGAGAAATATGAAGCCAAATTCTTCCTGACAGAATTCTTTGATCACCTGGATCACACGGCTGTGGGTTCAGCCCTGACCAAGAAATGAACTGAGGGACGCCATGCGACAGGCGGTTGTTTTTAAAAGTCACAACCGTAGTGGAAATTAGTGCCGAAGAATGTCCTTACTTAGCCTTCACCTCCTCTTTTTACCTGTCTTACGGTGTTTCTGTTGTTGCGGAAGTAGTTAGTGGTGAGAATTCCACTCGGACGGCTTGCCTTCCTCCAGATACGCCTCGTTAGGCTACTCTGAGGCTTCGAAATCAAACCAAATGTACCAGACGTGCGGTGATGTCTGGCTGGGATTGCAGTCTTTGCTTAAACCTTCGGCATAAAGTCCGTAGGGCATTTACTTTTGCGTTAATGGGTAATACACGGAAATAAGCACCTCCGTGATGCAGGTAGTCTTGCGTTAAATTCCAGGAAGGGTACCCTAATATAGGAGACCTGCACTACGGGACGGGGTGGTGAAGGTGGCTGTTGCCATGTCCTACTCGATAGCAAATTATGAAATTCGTACAAAGGGGTCTTAGGAGAATTGACAGGGCCGGTGAATCAGAGATCTTTGAGAGAGCTAACTGGTTTGAGACCGGTACGCGGGTTTCTCTACGGAACCGTTTGGTTCAACTACGTTTCTATCCCCTGCGTAGACAGTCTGCGCTCCTAGCCTTCTGCAATGGTAAAATCTCGTCCTCAGGTTGAAAGAGAGAAGGGGTCGGTGCTCTGCAGTTTTCTGGTAACTCGACTTTTGTGATAATCCTTGTCAGGTTCGACCGACAAACTATCAGATGCAGTACTATGTACGGCTTAATCAACCATGATAGTCTGCCTCACCACTGCTACCCAACGATGTGGATGAGATTGCTACTCGAGTTTATACACCGTGCACCGAAACTTCTCTAACACCGACCAAAGTACGTCCAAAAATCTATTTATGCTCCTAGAATCTGCAAGCTAATAATTACGAGTTCGGGGACATCCACAAGAGGATTCATCTAGTCTACTATAATCGGGTTTGTTATTCTGCTCACAGCATTGCTGTATAATTTATTTCCGCTGTTATATGGCGTGAGACCTAGAAAGCAACTTTACAGAGACATACAGAGTTCAGTAGGGGGATTTAAAACTACTATGAATGAGTGTGAACGCAAGTTGCTCAAAGTACACAGGTATTGGTAAACGTTGCCAGCGGAAACACTTCCTCCACCGATCACTGAATCTTGGGGTGCGTTCTAAAATAGGATCAGAAATGATATTTCTGCCTTCTGTCTGTGAGGTACATTTGGAATTGCGCAGGCATCCACATTTGGCGGATACGTACAGTAGATGAAGTATCTCATGATATGTTAACCCAAATTATGAGATATGTACTCAATTAGAAAGGATTGCTTAGGTGTGGCTGTAATATTTATTACCGCGCCGCATACACCCACACCAGAATGCCGACTTCTGAATGCGCGCCTTTCCGCCCGCCTGCACCAACCAAAATCGGTCAGCAGTGACCACTTAAACAGCATGGGGTTTTCCGTCAATATTCAGTGTCCTCATATATTCAAGTATGTTTTATAGAATACGTACACAAGATATCTAGTAATTTGGCAGCAAATCAGTCTTTAGATTTTCCGTTCGGAGAAAAGATTCTTGCGGTTTTAACAAAGAGTTTCAATTGTCGAGTATTTATGAACCTGATCTGCTGTTGCAGTAGCGTTTCGAATTCTCAAACTCCAAGTTGTAGACCTCATATGCAAGGAAAATGATGTCCGTCTATTTTATTAAGGATATATGATCTAGCGTTTGTAGAGTGTTTCAATGGGCGTGAGCCATGTTCTACACGCCCTAAACAGCGTTAATAAACGAACGAATGTGGTACTGTTTGAATTAACATTTCACGGTCTCGAACAATCTCATGATTGCGAGCTTTTTCAAAACCGAAATATATTTGGATTTGAATGCGTAAGGGCCATCGAAGATCGACGGAGAAAATTCATACTACTTAGGCAGTTACTATATGCCGATTTTGGTATTAGTAGGCGGCTAGAAAGAAGAGCACTCAAGAGCCGGAGTTCTTGCGTGGGATCATGCGGCACGGTAATTAATGTTAAATTCGCATCTAGGTAATCCCTTTTCGTCGAAAACACATTTCAGGATCCCGTCCAACCTTTCATGAGGTACATTATATACTACTCACTTACTATTTTCCTAATGTACTTTATACGCATGACTGAGAAGCTACTTTATTGAAGGCCTCCATGCTACTGCCTATGAGTTGACTTGGGATTCTGTTCCCTACAGATATGTTTTGTAACCTCACCTGAATAATCTACGTTTGAGACGTATTGAAAACCCTCCATCAGTGTTAAGTGTGTTTTGATGCCTACTGCACCTTGATTTCCGAAATGTTTACTCCCCGGAGCAAGTTGCCTACACAGGCTCCGCCGTCAGTTATCAGGGCCTGAGAGACGACGTAAGCACTTACTAGTCCAACCACCTTGGTGCCGGTAGATTACTTCTGTCATCCTTTTGTCAGTTACGTAAGAGTGGTTCGCACCGATCTGTGCTGAACGCGGAACAGAGGTGAACATTTCTGCTTTACCTTGGGGCTGGATGTCGATGGTCCACCCAGAGTATTGCGAACGACAGACAATCAGTCACTCATAAGTGTTACCAACAAAGTCTGGAGTCACTGGAATAGGCATTTCCGGTTTACTAGACGTCATCACCCAATGATGTCCTCAGTGCGCCAGTACCCGAGTCTTGATGCAGATCCAGCGGATTGACTCTCCAAAGGTAAACTTAAATGCCACCCTCCCTCCGGCAATGAAAATCGATGAGTTAACGCTGCTCTTATGTGTCTTCATTCTATATTTCATGCACCCTGTCACCCATTCCGCATAAACTCAAGACTGGCTGGACTTATGCGGTTTCGTACACCCGGATGCCGGCTTGCTGACACGCGCTTTGCCGGTTCAACTTCTAGTTAGCTCCATGTTATGAATATGTGTAGAATTCACTAATTCAAGGGATAAGCTTTCCGAATTAGTTGGAGTACTATTCCCCTTATTCTGCAGTACGTGGGCTAACTCATGAAATGTCAACCGAGATTCCAAAATGCCTTTTCGCTTCGAAAAGATTAATTAATTAGGGTTGTAAAACTAGTCAGCCCGCAACATAATTCCATAATATTTTAATTACCTCAAGATGCCGGCTTTCGAACGAACTTCCATTCGGCTGCATGCAAAACTGCACCCTTTAAAAATGACTACTTAAGAAGCATACATTTTTCTCATTGATTATCGATGCCCCTAAAAGTCCAATTATATTTCGTGGAAAATATGCATAAAAATATTCATTCTTTCGCTCAGTCGGTAGACAATTACGTCTTCTTCCAATCTTATACTCGAAGGAAGGATATAATTCGGTTTTAAAAAGTTTCTATTTGTTGGACTTTTAAATATCGTGAAATGGGCGTTCATAACTCGTCATGTCTCTGCATTTACCAATGTGGCTTATAAAGTTAGCAGTATGGACCAAATCCACTGCTAAATTTTATGAACCCTATATGATCCCCCTTTATTACCGTAGAGAAAGTAGTGGTTTTCTGTACGCGGAAAATATACGGCCTGTAGATTGGAAACTCCGAATCCAAGTGTAACGGTAGAGCGGGTTCAAAATTATTCGGGAATTGTAAAAGCTTTTGAAAACCGAATTATATCCTTCCTTCGAGTGTAAGATTGGAAGAAGACGTAATTGTCTACCGACTGAGCGAAAGAATGAATATTTTTATGCATATTTTCCGTGAAATATAATTGGACTTTTAGGGGCATCGAAAATCAATGAGAAAATGTATGCTTCTTAAGTAGTCATTTTTTACAGAGTGAAGTTTTGCATGTAGCCGTAAAGAAGTCAGTTTGAAAGCCGGCATCATGGGATAACTGAATTATTGTAGAATTATGCTGCAAGATGATTTGTTTTGCAACCCTACTTAATTAATCTTTTCGCAACGAAAAGGCTTTTTGGGATTTCGGTTGACATTTCATGAGTTAGCCCACCTACTGTACCTTCACTATCAAAGGGTCTCCTTTGTGGGTAGTCCTTGTCCGCTTGAGAAGGTGGGCAGTTTTTAACATACGGGGACCAAGCGAGGGTGGGGGATGTGCAGCAAGATCGAATAGGCTTCAGGGATGAATTTCTTCGTGATCGTAGGGACGTGGTTTCAGATGCTGTTTTTCGAGACCACGGGTCTGCCAAGTGTCGCAAAGCCTAATTAGTCGACATGTCAACGGGTGGTACATAGTGAAGTACATAATGAAGTACACAAACAGCAAAGACTGTGCAACCGCAGAGTAGAATCTTGAAGGCTGGCGTACGTGCCACCCTGTAAAAACCCCCTAGAGTCGTCGAGATCGTCCTGATATAGCGGCCAGGGGCCTTCAGGAAAAGGTCTCTCATGCCACTATTGTCCTTCGTTTGAGTTTTAGTGAGCCAAAAGCCGAAATGATCCTGGGTAAAAAAAATCTGAATTGCTACCAGGACCTGCTTTAGATGGAAACCCGCATGCGTACTCGTAAGTATTTTTCCACCAGGCCATTTCAGTTCGTACCACTGCCTCCGTTGGAGGAGACGCATCAAACCCCCGTTAAGTGGTGCGAATGAATGATAGTACAAATGGACTGTTTAACTGGAAACGGGCACTAATAAGGAAAAGTCAACTTAGAGAGAGAACCAAGGCTTTTCTTGCTTTGTTCGGTGTCATGATTAAACACTTGGCAGTCCCCAGTCGGTAACCACTTGCGAAGTCGGTGCCAATCACTCCGAGTCCACCAACAGCTGTGGGAGTTCCAATACTCACCGGAATTGCCTTTCCCCCTCTCCAGAATGCGCTTCCAGCCCACTGATAGGCAAGGGTTCTCCGGTATCTCGATTGATTAGACTTCATTTACAATCAGTAGGGAGTAACCTACCTTTCTCACCTGCCACCTTGTTATCTTCAGGTTACGACAGTACACTAGCATTCTTAGGTGGCATCTTTTGGGGGAGACTATACATCAT